AGTCATCCTGAGATGTTATTGGTGTAAGACGAGCGCGATTACCATGTCTCAAAAGTTGCCGCTCTTGGACCACATTATTTAAGGTGCCATAAAAAAAAGTTGTGATACTGTATTATTTATTGTACCTATCATCTCAGTACCATAACGCACAGCAAATTTGTCGCAAATTTCTTGACTAGTATTTGCGACGAATTTGCTATGCGTTATTGTATTGAGGTAATAGGCCTAGTATTTAAAAAAAAAAAAAAAAAAAAAACAAGCTGAATTGTGTGATCTCTCGCTCGCAAAAATCTCCAGTAATTTGGATTTATGATTTTTATGCTTCATCACCTGCCTTAAAGCTTTGAATACTGTTACCAATTGTAGCATCATTGCACGGAGCAGGATGAAGTGAGGCTGCCAGAAGCGAAGGGTGATGATTCATGGAAAATATACTTCGATGATACTGGTCAAGAAATTTGCGACGAATTTGCTATGCGTTATGGTATTGAGAGCATTTATCAGGCAAGCTATTTGAAATTGAATACTGATATGGCATACCTTTTTAATTTCTAGTTGTATAAAAGTTTGGTTATTGGGCTTGGGAAAAAAATCATAATCGTGGCTTATGTTTAAATAAATAAGCGCATAGATGTGCAGTTCAAAATCAAATCGAAAAGCCTGGCTTAACTGGGTCCAGCGTGTGGGAGCATCCCACTAACATCACTAACAGGAAGACCCCCGCATCGGTTGTCCGAGCGATTCTTGGTCTAGTGTTTAAAAAAACAAGCTGATTGTATGACATCTGATTTATCAGTGTTTTAGATTTTAAACCCAGCTGGTGACGCACTAAGCTTACTAGTGCGGTCACGCGTTTTTCTTGATTTCATGCTGTAAAAAAAAAAGCACTGTCTGCAGTACTGGAGTGTGATTGCCGCGTAGCAATTTGAACATTTGACGCGTATGTACACAGGACCATGCCTTGGTAGAAGTTCATCTTTACAGTTGATGGCCCGCACATGAATTCAAAAAAATACCGTTTCTGCCCGGTCTGGTTAACAAGTTAACTGAGCGCCAATAGTGATGTGCATTTTTGCATTTGTGTAAATATACAACAAAGGCTGGATCGCACCAGGCGAGCCGGTGCGATCATGCGTTTTTGCATCAAAACTAAAGTAAAAGTATTGCCC